TGTTTTAGATTATGGCTTTCTCAACAAGCTTGAAAGCTGTTATAGAGACTATAGCGAGCAATTTGTGCAATTGCTGGTTGTAAGTTTATATTGAGTGACTCTTTAATGTGCAATTTTTCAGTATATCTCGAGGCTGATATATGCTGTATTGAAGCGTCTGTAGATTTCTTTTGTATTTGATTTTACTTCGGTATAATTAAGCACAGCATGAAGCTGTTTTTAGCTGGATCTAGTTATATCTACTTCAATCCTTTTTTTAATTAAAGTGTGACAGGAAGTGAGATGACGTCAGTGTGGATTATTATGCTGAGAGTGACCATGTTGCTCAATAAAATCTCTCCTAGTCATAACTGCTCTGAAGACTAAAGCTCAGGTATCTATCGTGTCACATCTGTAACTGATGGATAAATCACTCTAATTTTCAGCACAGGAGGAGATGGAGCACTTGTAGATAAATAAATAGAAAAATATATATATAATGCTTAATATGGTGACTGTATGAATGGAAGTCCCCGCTTTCAGTTAGAGAAGCCAATCACCTTAAGATGTAATTTTATTTATTATGTTTTTATATATTATTTTATGCATTGTATTTATATATAATTTACTAATAAGTAAATTAGTCATGGTCAGAATTATTTGCACCCTTGGAAAATATAAACAAAGATGACTGAAAATAAATCTCCTTTGTTTATCCTTTTGATCTTTCATTTAAATAAATTCACAAAAATCGAATTTAACGCTCAATACTGTGACTGAATGTAATTTCCAGTGTTCAGTTATAGAAGAAGCCAATCAGCTTTTAGATGTTAGGGATGTCAATAGTAAACTAGAATGTACATTTCCTGAAGAAAATGTGAGTGGTGCTTGCAGTGGCAAAACTCGGCAATCGGTTAGCATGTTTTTAGCAAAATGCTAAGACAATTAGCATGTTTCTAGCATTATGTTAACATGATTAGCATGTTGCTGTTTTTTGCAAGATCCTAACATGATTAGTTTGAGGAATAACAATAGTGATGCCTTGCCTTTGGCAAGCTAATAAGCAAGCTTTATGATACTCTTGAAAAACTGTGCGCTTGTATGCCAAAATTTGCTGACTGAACTGACTTGCCTTAAAGGGATGGTTCACCCAAAAATTTAAATCCAGTCATCATTTACTCACCCTCAAGTTGTTTCAAACCTAAGTTTCTTTCTTCTATACTGAACACAAAAGAAGATATTTTAAAGAATGTTGGTAATCAAACAGTTGATGGGCACCATTGATTTCCATATAGAAAACATTTTTTTATGGAAGTCAATGGTGCCCCACAACTGTTTAGTTACCGACATTCTTCAAAATATCTCCTTTTGTGCTCAACAGAAGAAAGAAATTAATTGAGGTTTGGAACAACTTGAGGGCAAGAAAATGATGACAGAATTTTTTTGGGGGGGGTGAACTATCCCTTTAAAAGGACCTTGAACATTGTATTATTGAGTAACTTAAGAAACTTTTATGTTTTTGTACTTTTTCAACAGCATGACAGTTTAACTTCAGGCCTTTCCAATTTTCCATTATTATTTTGGATTTATTTGGGTACATTGCTTTTGAGTGGCTGAACTTCAGAGAGTTTAGTGTAGAATTTGCATGTATTTCTTTGAAGACCGTTTGATGTTGTTTTGCTGGATTAAATGCATGTCAGTGTTTGCAATATAATTCAATTTTAATTGCCACTGGATTTGTGTTTAGGTGAAGTCTAGACATCAAATGATCAATATGCATGATATTTGGCTGTGTTTGATGGTTACATAATCGCCGTAATGAAAATGTAATTATGGTGGTAGTTTTGTCAGATTTTTATTCAGTGGAGTTGTATGATCTAACAATGAACTTACTTCAACTTCATGACACTCACATATGCAGTCTGTGAGATAATTTGACGTTTAATTGATAATAGGGCCATTATTTTCATTACAAGCAGAATCAAATTTTAAAATAATCTTGAATTACGTGACAGGCAGTATGTGGATGATATTATTCAAAGAGGAAGAAGAAAAGGTAAAAGCAGAGGTAATTAGACGGACAAACAGAAAGCGTATCCTTACATGATATTTAATAGCCTTGATCCATTGCATAAGCAGAAAGCAATGCTTAGAAGAGCTATAACAATGAAAAAAATCTGTTATTCTGGAATATCAAACAAAATTTTAACTGTACTGTGGTTAGACTCAGAATTCAATAAGTAATGATCATTATTAACTATTTTGTAGAACACTAACACTAACATATTTTTATTTTATATTTTATTCAAAGGGATAGTTCACCCGAAAATGAATATTCTGTCATCATTTACTCACCCTCATGTCTGTATGGTTTTCTTTCTTTTTAAACACAAAATAAAATATTTTGAAGAACAATGGGGTCCAAACAACTATCTTCAGGTTTGAGACCACATGAGGATGAGTAAATGATGCAAGACTTTTTAATTTTGGGTAAATTATCCCTTTTTTCAGTTTAACTTGACCAAAACAAAGAAGAAGAAAAAAACAGGCCTATATCGCTGACAGTGCCCTTCTTTCAGTCTATTCGGAGCCTTTGAGAACATCTCTGGGGTGTTCACTAAAATGTAATTTGATAATGCACTTGGTGTTTTTCCTAGGTTCAAGGTGACATTGCATTTGATGAATTATATTTAATATTTTATATGTGTTTCTTCTGCTGAGCTTGCCAGTATACAAACATAGTGGTCACTCTTTAAAATATTATTTTGTCCTTCCATTCGTTTGCCACAATGTCGATTTGATTAGCTGAGAATTTTGCAAGGATGTTTTGTACTTGGCAGCAGCAGCGGTTTCTGAAATGTAACTTCAAGTGGTATTAAAAATGTGCAGGGAATAATTAGTTTAAACAGATCAATTAGACATCTGTGCAACATTATGCAGTTTCAAAATGTTTTAGATTTTCAGAAACCCAATGCATACTAATGAATTAAACTGATGAGTCTTTCGTTAGCCATTATATTTATTTTATTCAGAAGAGGCTTTAAAATGGACGTTTAGATATAATTTTGTGTTTTGTTAAACCCTGAATAATAACACAAATGCAACATAACGAATAGCTACACATATAATAGTGATAATATGGATACTAAAACGTTTGAATGATTCAGCAATAGTACACACTCAAGTATATCAAGAATAATGGCAAGCATTTACCAGACTGAGAGAATAATTACAGCACAATTAAACACACTGAACAATTTATACATGTTTGTTTTCAGGCTGAAAAGAGCTTTAAATTATATATCCTTGAACACTTCAGAACACTCGTCTTGAAACCATCTCAGTGTGTAGAGACAAGATTCAAACCCATTTGTGTAACTGTAACATATCATAAACCTTCCATTTATGAGACTTTGAAAAATTCAATCCTCTGCATCTAAAACTGTAAAAAAAAAGTTTCTGCCTTAAATTAAGTACAATGAACTTGGATTTTTAAGTCATTTCAACTTAAATTACATGACTTTAAAAATGAGTTGAATATTGTATAACTATATTGTATTACATTAAAGCAAAGTAAAAACATGTTGTCATTACTTATTGATCTTTTTACAGTGTGGATGCTGTCTTACTGATTTTCTGCAAACATCTGTTTCAACTGTCACTAAAATATCACTTAGCCTATTCATTGACACTGGACCGCAAACCTGACTAACCATTGAAACAGACATAAAGAGACAATTTCCCACACTAACACCATCAAGATATTATATTCAAAACCTATAACACAACATATTAATTGAAAATAATTGAAAACAGTCAATTGTGATAAAGAAAATATGCAACTTCACATTTGCACATTTGTTGAGAAACCATGAATAAACCCATGTGGTCAGCTCACAAATACAATCATATGCTGTCTACCAATTTATGAAGAGAGTAAATTAAAAAGGTGAAATATTCATTCGTCAGATGTAAGAAGTTTTTGTACACATTTTTTTTTATAGGTACATTCATTTATAGTCATCTAAATAAGTTATAGTCAAAATAGTCTTTATTGTATGTAAATAAATAAATATATATATATAATATATTTGATGTTAAATGTTTTACTTTGTTCTATCATAGTTTAATAAGAAGAGTAAAGTCATTCAATATAGGTATTCACCTTGGTTTATTCCACCTAAAGTCTACACAGTACACAGTGTGGCGCGTTGGCGATAGCATGCATTTGGGGCGGGACAATCTGTTTTAAGCGACCAATGGCAATCAAGGGGAGTGTTTAAGAAACGTCAATTATAATATAAAAACAATTATTATTTTTGCATTTCCTTTTGGTTGCGCTAATGGCACATAATTACAATTTAGCCCAACTAAAAAAATAAAACATTAAGAAATATATGTAATAATGTCTCCTATATCTTTTTATTCATGCATTCCTATGGTTCATCCGAAATGTGCTTATTTACAATAAACTTCCATAAAAGGAGCACATTCATACAACTTAAGTCTAAATATATTTCAGTGTGACATTGTCAGATGGCCAATGACTTACACAGAGTTTATCCCCCCCCCCCCCCCCCCCCCCCACACACACACACACACACCCCACACCCCACACACACACAATATTTATATACAGTGGGACACTAAACTAAGTTAACTCTCATTGAATATTCTTGAAACAACTGAAACTGCAGTTTCAGCATTTTTTCCCCAGGGGTCTGGAGAGGAAGAAGGCCACTCATTAATCACAATGGCAATCCCTAAAGATGTTTTCAGATCAATATGTATTCAATTTACCCTGTATCACATATGGAATAGCCTACACTGCCATTTTAATTTAGAATCATGACTTTAGCCAATAATGCAACCATGCAACTTAATTTCAGTTTCCAGGGAACTGTTTGGCAAGTGAATGAGACGGGAAGATGAATTCGACTGTATCGAGCATGACTTTTTTTATTTTAATAAAGATAAAATGAAACTTTCAAAGTGCTGTCCCTGCAGTTTGTGTAGTTACGGCAGATCGCTAGCACTCAGTGCTGTGTGTAGCTGTTGTGGGTTTATCAGGCCTGACTGAAAGTCTCCTTACTAAAGTCACAGTTCTCCGGATACAGAAGCTTCTTATCAGGGAACAGCTCGTCTGTCGGTGTCAAATCGTCTATCTCGGTTGAAAAATGCCCAGTGCTTCCCACCGTTGACGTTTCCTTGGCAACACTGTAGGTTAGTGCCACACTATAAGCTGCCTTGTTCACCAGAGCGGTGCGTCCGCAGCGGCAGAGCCTTTTGAAGGCAGCGCGGAACTTTTGAGACATAGCGTTGTAGATAAGAGGGTTGATGGCGCTGTTGAGGTAGACACATGTGCGGCAGAACAGCAGAAACCAGGTGTCCAGGTAGGCTTCTTGCAGGAAAGAGTTCACCACCACCAGAGTGCGGTACGGCATCCAAAGCACAGCGAACAGAATAACCACCACTGCCAGCATTTTTGTAACCTTTAATGAAGAAATCACAATAACCATGTTACGAATAATGTATTGCAATTCAGTGTAATACGTAATGTTTGTTATCCGTGTGTGTGTGTGTGTGTACAGGTTTATATTACATTGTGGGAACCAAATGTCCCCACAAAGCAAAACCTGCAGATCACATTGTGGGGACCAGCGCAGTGGTCCCCGCGAGGAAAATGGGTTAATAAACATACAATTATTATTATTTTTTTTGAAAATGTAAAAATGCAGAAAGTTTTCTGTGATTGGGTAGGTTTGGGTTAGGGAATAGATAATACAGTTTGTACAGTATAAAAATCAGTACGGCAATGGAGAGTCCCCACAAAGATAGCGAACCAGACGTGTGAGTGCGCGCGCGTGTGTGTTTTGTGTGCATCTGCTTATATATTTGTCTGTCTGTCAGGATGGATGGATGGATGTTATGTACGCTATAGTCTATAATTTCATCCAACCTGGAAAGAGACATAAAAATACTTTGGCTTGCATAACAAATAAAATGCATAATTTTACTGTTCTAATTGTTTGTTTAAATTCATTAATTCATGAAGAACAAGTAAATATGCTAGTTCTGCACCTGAAACAAGTTTTGTTTTGCTCTATGATTTGTATGGATACATTTATAGCCTTTTGTTGTTTCCAAATATTGAGGTTTTGAACCTTAAAGGCTCACCTGTCTTCTGGATGCTGCGGTTGTACTGGAGCAGCGGCTGGAATTCTTCATTTTGTTCTTTTTGGCTTTGGAGAAGTTGTCATGCCCGTTCTTGTCCGACGGGAGAGGATTAAGAAACAAGATTCTCGCAATGAGGCCGTACAGGACAGTGGCAAGAGTGAGCGGCAGGACAAAAAAGATGCCAAAATCGACAAAATATATGGGTAGATAAAGGTTTCTGGACACTTTGTAAGCGCACGTAATTATAGTCACATCCTTGTAGGAAACCTGTTGGATATCGGACAGGTAAAACCACATTACGCAGTAAAGAGACGTGAAAACCCAAACTCCAAAAATGATCTTCTTCGCGCGCGAGAGCGTGCATAAAAACTGCGCTTTGATTGGGTGACATATAGCGATGTATCGCTCTATAGTGAAGGCTGTTATGGAGCACGAGGATGCGTTGATTCCTAGATACTGGAAGTATGTGATGCACAGGCACCCCGCGTGTCCAAAAATCCATGAACCGAACAAACTGTCCGCTATGCTCGGCAGACCGGCTCCGATCAACACCATCAGGTCTGCGACCGCCAAACTAACCAGATAGCCATTGGTCGGGGTCCGCATATGTTTGGTTGTGAGGACCACCAGGATGACCATCACGTTTCCAACTATCCCGAAAGCGCATATGAGGAAAACCACGAGGACGCTGATCACTTTGTATTCGACACTGCGGTCCGTCCAGGTTTCCAGAGTCTCGTTGAATACTGTGAAGTTCTCCATTCTCAAACAATCTCCCAGGTTCTTTAAAGATCTATTAAAAATAATGTTAATTCCGTTGAGTTGACATAAATGCGGTTCATCCCTCTTAGAACTTTGCTTTCTTGATTTGGCTGTTCAGTTTTTGATTAGTTTTTGTTCATCGGGGGAAAAAAGAGACAAAAAAAATAATTTACATCCATTTAAAATGTTTAATCATAGCTTAAGTCACATTTGTTTTATTCTCCGGTCTCTGTTCTCCTCTAAATGTTGTGGAATAGACTATAGATGTGCTCTCCACTGTTGCAATGTATCAGATGATGGATCTCCTGTGTCTGGTGCTGAATTTAGTCTCGCCTTTGGCTGCGTGATCAGAAAAAGGGGCGTTTTACGCACGCACACAATTCAGTCATATGAAATAGGCATACTTTTTTGAGACTTTTAAACTTATCTTAAGACTCCTTGGTTAATTTTTATGACTTTATGGTCCTATTATTATACTATGTCATTGAAATGCGACACAACACGACAAAAAAGTTTAAGACTGGAGCTTTAAGAATATGAAAGATTCAACGCTATCTCACGACCAATTCGTCCGAATTTGACGATTGATTAAAAGATGGCTAATTCGTACGAATTCGTACGACCTCATTCGTACGAATTTGTACGATTTGTCTAAACCCACGTGATGGGTAGGTTTAGGGGCGGGGTCAGGGGTAGGTCATTCGTACGAATTCATTCGAATTGGGCAACTCGTCAAATATGTACGTTTTAGCAAAAATCGATGGATCAATATGCCTGTCTCATTCATGTTCATTTTTGCGACTTGATTTAGGATGCCATGCTTATTACTCAACTGTGTTGGGTGTAGACCTACAACGTGTGAATTTTATAATTACTTTTTTTAAAGATGGGGTAAGCGTGGTTTACCCTAAGCAAACCATTTTCATGTTTTAATTAAAGGTTTTTAAGTAGAAGATGGATGCATTTTTCTCATTTACCAAAACTCATGGGTCTTTTAAAAAGCATGTTTGCGAACATGCCAACTAATTCCTTTGTTCCCTCTAAATGCATACAAACGTGTATGTTTCTAAAAACAAAAACATTATTTCCTTTTAAAGGACTCTTAAAAATAAAGTTTCTGTATTGGCATCTATGGTTCCATGAAGAACCTTTAACATCAATGGAACCTTCCCATTGTGCAAAAGGTTCTTTATAGAGGAAAAGGTTCTTTAGAATTTTAAAATGCTCTTCGCACTATAAAAATGGGTTCTTTTAAGAACTGGTCACTGAAAGGTTCTTTGGGAAACCAAAAATGGTTATATGAGAATGTTTATTTTTAAGAGTGCACACTTGTTTCTATTTGAATTTACCCCCGGTTTTACAGACAAGTCTTAATGTCCCAGACTAAAATGTATATTTGAGCTGTTTTAACTGAAGCAACTTGCATTGACACATCTTAAAATATGTCAGGGCCATTGTTTTGTCTCAAGAAGCACACCAGTAATGTTTTTTCTAAGGCACGTTTATAAAAGCTACTTAAATGTCCTAATTGAAATAAGGTCTAATTATGGCTTAATCTAAGGCCTGTTTGTGCCATTGTGTTTTGACAGGTTTCTGGGAGGGTTATGTTTAGTGGAAGGGGTCGTGCATGAGATAACAAGAAATAATGAGAAAATATCATTAACCTGATAGAAAAACAAAGGAAGTCTATGAGATATCCACACTAATAGTGAAACACATGTGTGCATGCGTGTTTTGTATGTGTATGTTTGTACCTATTTTTGTGGACACATTTTTTTTTGGGAGTTTGGGGACTATGTCCCCAAACTCCTTTTGGGGACATAGTCAGTAAAAAAAACTGCATGGTATGGGTTCCCTATACGTGTTCTTCTGAGAAAACCCAGATTCTCATGCATCCTGCACATGCATGTGTCCCAATAACTCAGAGTGGAATGAACAGCCTTGATTATGTGCCTAAAACACACGTCCATCTCAATAAATTACACATTACAATAGTTGTGACAATGTACTGTAACACCGTTACATTAACGATTAACCTCTGTGACCTGATAAGTAGAATTTGGCTAAATTCATACTGTAATGTAGTCATATGCCCCGCCACATCACATTGTCCTTGACATTTGATCTATTTCATGAACAAAAACTAGACCTGGAAGAAGGGTTGTTGCTGGGGGGAAAGGTGGGACTGAGTACAGGGGTCCAGAGCTATAGGGGCCCCTGCGATTATCAAGAGGGAACTTCAAAATCAAGTAAATTGTTGTATATACCGTTGTGGTCCGAATTATTGGCACCCCAAATCTGCATGGTTTATTCTTTTGATATTTCATTTAAAAAAAAATCTCAAAAATCTAACTTTTCATTGAAGTAAAATAATTGAAAGTGGGGGGGGAAATCACATTATGAAATAAATGTTTTTCTCCAAAACACATAGGCCACAATTTGTCACACAACGCTCAGGAACAAGCAAAATTGAGGCTTTATTTATACACGGTACGCAGACTCCAAAATAAAAGGTAAAACAAACGCTCAGAAGATACTTAGGAATACCGAAAATACCAGAATAGTCTCTTGTGCACACAATTTTCTGAATTTTTTGTTCAGAAAATACAGGATATTAGATTACGCCTCTCTCCTCTTTACATAGATCATTCTGACCTGGTCCTTACATCCAGTCGTTTTTCAAACTTTCAACCAGTGTCTTCATCCCAATTACTTAACATTATCTCTCAGATGAAATTCACATTCTGTCAATCAGATGTATTGCCTGGACGTCTTTTCAGTGAAGTTTTAGACACAATCTGCCCCATCCTCTTAGCTATAATAAATAGCTCTTTAATAAACGGGGTTTTCCCAGAAAGTTTTAAACACGCTATCGTACAGCCCCTATTGAAAGGACATCACCTTGACCACACTGTGCATAACAACTACCGGCCTATCTCTAAACTGCCTTTTATTTCAAAGATTTTGGAAAAAGCTGCACTGCTACAGTTTACCTCTTATCTGAATACTTTTAATATTTTAGATCCATTTCAATCTGGTTTTAGAGCGCTGCATAGCACTGAGTCAGCACTGCTGAAGGTTACAAACGACATTCTATTGTCTACCGATTCTGGGTCTTCTGTTGTCCTGATACTTTTAGATCTGAGTGCTGCATTTGACACCATTGATCATAATATTTTACTGAGACGACTGGAGTATATTGTTGGAGTGGAGGGCCCTGCTTTACAGTGGTTCGCCTCATATTTGCAGGGGAGGACCTTCTCTGTAAATATTGGGTCATTCACTTCACCCTCTGCGCCGATCCAGTGTGGCGTTCCACAGGGATCCATTCTTGGCCCCCTTTTGTTTTCCCTCTACATGTTACCTTTAGGCTCAATATTCAAAAAATATAACATAAATTATCACTGTTACGCCGACGACCTCCAATTATATCTCCCAATCAAATCAGGAAATGACTTTTCATTAGACAACCTCTTTACATGCCTTAACGAAGTCAAGACCTGGATGACAAATAACTCACTGCAACTGAATGAAAATAAAACCGAAGTGCTTTTACTGGGTCCTGCTGCTACCAACAACTCCATTAAAACACAGTTAGGTCCTTTAAGTAATAACTTACACAATCATGCAAAAAATCTTGGAGTCTTTTTTGACCCTCTTCTCCAATTTGATAAGCACGTAAATGCAGTTGTAAAGAGTAGCTTTTTTCAACTACGATCTATAGCAAAAGTGAAAAACTTTCTATCTAGTAAAGACCTTGAAATTGTGATTCATGCGCTAATTTCCTCTCGATTGGACTACTGCAATTCTCTGTATATTGGCCTACCTCAAACTACACTGTCTCGGTTACAAATGGTTCAAAATTCAGCAGCCAGATTGTTGACAGGAGCTAGGAAAAGGGATCACATCTCCCCTGTTCTTGCCTCATTGCATTGGCTACCAATAAAATTTAGAGTCGATTTTAAGATCCTTATTTTTGCATACAAGGCCCTACATAGTTCGGCACCAGATTATATTTGTGATCTTATTAGGCCATACACAGCCTCTAGGTCACTAAGATCTTGTGATCAGTCACTCTTATCTGTCCCACGCTCTCGGTGTAAATCAAAAGGTGACCGAGCTTTCTCTGTAGTTGCCCCAAAGCTCTGGAACAATTTACCTTTAACTATTAGGACCTCTCCATCTCTGGTTGCTTTTAAATCCAGCTTAAAGACCCATTTTTACTCTCTCGCATTTGAGTAAATTTTAAATAATTTGGTGTTCTACGTTATGTATGTGCTGTTTGTATAAACTGAATGGTTTGATCCTTCATTTTATCTATTTTTTGCCTTTTGTCTACTACTTTTTCTTTTCTCTTTTTATTTTTCTATTTTATTTTTATTATACTGTAAAGCACTTTGGATCAACTACGGTTGTGTTAAACTTGTGCTATATAAATAAACCTTGACTTGACTTGACTTGAAGATTACTCAGGAACCAGGGACCAGAATTGACGAGATCGGACCAGGAGTGTAGGGTGACTGAGGCTTTTATGCAGCGTGAGTGGTGATCATGAGGAGACGAGGTGCAGGTGATAATCAGGGAGAGTGCATGCAGGTGAGGATCCAGGGGAATGCTGGGAAGTGTAGTGTGGGACAGGACCAGGGGAAACCGTGACATTACATCCCCCTCCCGGAAGGCGCGACCTCGCGCCTAAACCAAACTGTGCTCCACGGTGGCATAGCTGGAGGGAGGAGCCATGGGGAAAGACAGCCGGCAGGTCTCATGGTGATGACAGGAAGCGATGACAACGTGGAAGGTGGAGCCCACCGTGCCGCCGGAGACCCGAAGGAGTGACAGGACACAGAAGACCTAGGAGACCACGACAGAGCCGCAGCGACATCCCCCCGAGGTGGAAGCAGGGATCCGGAGGGCTGAGGTTGAGCAGGAGTGACCAAGTGCAGAGGTGGAGCCTGAGGGAGGGTGGAGCAAACCGCAGCCGAAGGGGTGGAGGGTCGGAGAGCACTGAACGACCCGCAAGTCCGCAGCGAAGGTGGTGCGATGTCCGACCCAGGTGGAGCCGAAGTACCGAGGGAGCCCGGTGAAGCCGAATGTCCGATGGTCACTGCAGACATCAAGGGTGGATGGAGCATAGGCGTGGGAGTC